GGATCGTCTCTATCAGGGACTGCATCGTCCCGATGTCCTGGGTGTTGCTTTGCATGAGGTCTCCGGTATGCTGCTGGTGCATCTTGAGCAATTTAGCGACTGTCGCGACTTTCGCGTCGGTCGCTTCAATCTGAACGTGCATGTCGTGAATTTGCGTCTCGAGGCTCTTTGTGTGGAGACATGCTGCCGACACACGCTCGAGTTGGATTTCCAGGAATGAAATGTACGCGCCACGGTCGGTGAGGAGCTTTTTCGTCTCCTCTACAGCTTGCTTTCCAGTAGATGCTTTTGCCAGCGCCTTCGACCGCATGAACTCCTGGAAGTACGACCCGCGGTCCATCCCCGCAACTCCCCAAACGACGTATCTAATCCTTGGGTCAACGCTCATTGGACCATTCTCTCAACCAATCATAATTCAAAAGCATAGGGTTACACCAATCAGAGAGCGGAAAGAATTTCAACCAATCAAATGAAATTTACATAACTCCGCCAATAAGAATGAGGTTCGTTGGTTAAACAAACGTGGCATTTCCTGCCAACTCCCCATAACGCAGGCGTCGACACAACGTACAGATGCACAAAACTTGCTGGATGTGGTGTGATGGCGTTCTCAACCTTGAAAGCTAGCGCAGGTTGGCACGAGTCTGTTGATCCTATGAATTTGCCGGCTGAAAGGCATACAGCGAGTATGGTGTGGTCTTGCGGCTGCACCGTTATCCTTTCTTTAGCAAGGATCGAAATGACCTGCCTGCATGCTTCTGGTCGACAGGTTTGACCCGATTCGAGCCCTTTCGACCTCGCGATGCCCAGAAAGAGGTTCCTTTGGATGCTTTTTGAAGAGGTGGCAGGGTAGTTGGCGTCGCCTCGAATAAATAGTCGGTGCCGTCGACATCGTCGATGGAATCTGTTCGTCCCGGTGGCGCTACGACCGACTTCTTCCTGGCTTGTTGAGATTTGTACGCCGCCAAATCTTCTTCGTGCTGCATGTGCCTTGCTTCTTTGATGACGGGTTTTGCATGCCTCAGCTTGTCCAGCTCGCGCGACGAATAGTCGATCGGAAACGAATACGGCTGTCTTGCCAACTCCATGTCTCCTTGAGTGAGCGACCCGAGAGGGGTGCCCGTCAAAGTCCACACCTTGACGAGCCGATCGTATGACGCCGTGAGAAGCGTCACAGTCGCATTGTCGACGATGACTTGGACCGAGTAGACAGCGTCGTCGTGGCCTTGCCACTGGTACGCACAATCGAGCATGGTCAAGTGGACGAGCGGCATTTGGCCGTCAAAATGGAACGTGCACTGCGGCTCTCGGTTTAAATATGCTTGCCACTCAATGCCTTCCTTGAACTTCTTCACGAGCTCTGTCGCGTGGACGCGCAAGTTGCGCTGAGGGTTGGCGCACTCGACGCGCTTCTCGATTGGGACGAGTTGAAACTCGGTTTCGAGGCGCTTGAGAAGGGGCAGGACGTCCCACACACTCAGTCCGCCTTTGTCGTCGCCACCGACCAAGTAGTACGCATCGATTAAGGCAGATACCGACGGAGACGACGCCCCGGCGGCATCGCCACCCTCCTGCCTTGACGCTGACGTGACGTGTTGAATATGCGTCGTGACGGCGACCAAATACGGGTTCGACACAAGTTTGGACGCCAGTGGGTTATGCAAACGAAATCGACACACGCATTTCCCCTTGTACTTGGACGGGCGCATGGCCCAAATCGCAACGTTGCCGCTGAGGTCGCATGACGCGAGGAGCGGGTACGGATCGAGGAACACCAGGCTCACGATGCCAGTGGTGTGGCCGATGCACGTGGCGTCCAACCTAATCCAGGAACAGCAGTCAACGCATTGCCTCCAGCGACGGCACTTGAGCGACCATGTCGGCCATACCGTCCAAATTCGTAATCCCAGATCTGGACGGTGCAGTCGACCGACCCGGTTGCGATAAGCGACAAGTTGTACGAAAAACCGAGGCTCGTAATGTCGCCAGTGTGGCCCCCCGTCATCCGCCGCAGCAAAATGCCTCGGTCGGGGTCGCTTTCGTCGTGGATGCACACGCTGGTGTCCCACGACGTGCTGATCACGGTGCGATACTCGTTACAGTAATACAGTCGCGACACCTCGGCCGCGTGCGCCTTGTTGTCCATGTCCGGGTAGGCAAAGCACTTCATATAAGTGCCGTTCAGGTAGTCGTACACTTTGATGTTGCCTTCGTGATCGCCGACAAGAAACTTGCGGCTGCGGTTGTCCAGGCAGAGTGCGGTCAAGTCCGTGCCACTCAGCCCCCTGAAGCAATGGGTTACATTGGCCGCCACCCGTCAATGGACAGCGTACTTGTAAATCCGAATGAGCTTGCCCAGGTTGGCGTCCCAAATTTTGATGTCCGTGCCCGCCGCCGTGATAAACGTGAGTGAAATCGGGTTGAAGAGTGCTTGGAACACAGGAAAGTCGTCCGTGAGCTTGGGGTTGCGCAGCTTTTCGTAGTCAAAGAGCGTCATCTATGACGTCGAGCCCAACGTGGTCAGCTTCGTGTCTCGCTCGCTGTACCCACCCGTTTGCCGCCGGCCACAAGCCGCTTGTGCGACGTCACCGACACAAACGACTTGATGTCGGTCATGTTGGCGTTTTCCGCCGTGAACGTTTGCATGCACGCAAAATTGCGAATGTCCCAAACCTGCTTCGTGCCATTGCTCGATCGCATGGTATTGCAGACGATGTACCTTGAAGACGCCGCCGATGTCGGCCGTGATGATCTGCGGCGTGTCGGGGATGATCTCGACGCCGCACAACGAGTTCTGGTGGCCGTGTAGCCGCAGAATAAGCTGATCCACGTACGGGTTCCATACGAACGCGTCGAAGTCGAACCCGGCTGAGACGAGGAAGCGGTACTCGGCAGAGTACGCCAGCGACCGCACGCCCTTCATGTGCCCGTCAAGCTGTTGCTTGTGTTTGCCCGTGTTGACGTCCCATAGCCGCACGGTCTTGTCCATGCTGGCCGACGCGAGAGTCTCCAGCGTCGGCAACTAATTTCAGCAGGCCACGTCATCAACTTGGAAAATGTATGGATAACGGTTACGTTGAGCAAGTCCAGCACGATGCCGTCATGGGACCGCGTGAGGACGCGGCCGTCCCGCCCGATGCCGCCCATGTGATGCTTCTCTTCCATGCGATCGGCGTCCCACGCGTAAATAATGCCGCTGGCACTCTACCCGTCGTTGACGTCAAAAGGAAGCAACGAACGAAATCGTACAGCGGAAAACAACATGTTGGATTGGGTGTACCACCGTAGGCAGTTTTGCGACGTGGGGGTATGGCAGCTCTTGATCAAGCGGTAGCTCGTGTCGTCGTAGAAGCGCAGCTGGAGGTCGGACGACGCGACGACGTACTGGTTGAGCTATCGCGTTCCATATGAGCATCCTCGTGTGATGTCAGAGGACGGACGGATGGTCCGTGCGTCGTACCCGGTCGATGTACTCTGCGCACAGGACGAACCCATCCGGCGATTTGATCACGCGCTGGAGCTCACACCGCGCGTCGTATATCTTGAGATTCTGCGTGCCGTACTCACACACAGCGAGGCGGTCATTCGCGGGGAAGTAGTACATGCGGTCAATCGTGGCACTGTGCTTTGACGTGTCTTCCCATGACGAGTGATGGTACATCTGAATCGAGTTGGGCTGTTGACTTTCGAGCCCGGTGTCCACGATGAACGAGGTAAACTCTTCCCACTCCATGGACCCGTCGCCGTTAATGTCGATCTGAGCAAAGAGCTCACACAAGTACGCGACGAGCTGCGGTTCCGTCAACTTGTGCAGGTGGGACTTGTCGTCTTGCGCGTTTTGGCTGCTCTTTACAAACCGGAGCATGACGTGAACGAACTCACCGACCGACAGCCCGCGCTCCTTTCGCTGGAACTCCTCCCGCAGAGATCCGACTTTGGCCATGTCGATCATCATCATTATGTCCATCGTAAAACCCTTTTCAGGGTCGCTCTTGTAGTACGACGTGAGGGGGTTCGACAGGAACTCTTGCTCGAGACGTTGGTCGTCGTCGTCTGAATCACCTCCGGCATCATTCAGTTGGACCTCCGTCAGAAACATGGCGGATGCTGGCGGACTGATGATGGCACGGCTCTTTCGGCTGCCTGTCACACTGCCGCGGGTTCGCGATGCCGACATGTCGGGCAACTGGTCGGCGGCGTTTTCGAAAAATGGCCGTTTCGCTCTCGCCCAATCAAACGGCGACTCTATGCGAATTTTAAGGCATTTATTGAAATAGTCCACGAAAATCAACGAAAATGATTTTGCAAATGCACAACATAATCTTCACTGTCCTGCATCCATTTGTCTTCAAGAAATTCCACAGAGGATGTAACCAACCTCGTAGAGTGGCTATGGGAATGTTCTCCTGTCGTGCGAACTCGCGGTCACTGCTGCATGGCCCGAGCGTTGAGTGTTTCTTAAGGAGAGCCTTTATTGTCCCAATAGTGTATCGCTTTTGTTTTTGATTTGCAAGCAGTGTTGAGCGACAATACGGTTTTAACAGCGGCTTGCGTCGGGGTGGCGCACGCCGTCGAGACAGTGTGCCCTTTGACATGGATGGACTTTTGAAATTCTTACTTCGGATTATTTGAATAACCCAATGAAAAGTGTTAGATAGGAATATTTCCTCCAATTAAAGTGAGTCGAACACTAGAGCTGTGATTGGCTTAATATTTCCCCACCATTTGAATAAAATTTCTGTGGTGCAACTGTGGGCGAGTTCATCCCCGTTGTCTGCTCCGGAGTACTTGTAATAAATACTGTGAATGTATTTCCAGGTGAAATACTAAATATTCCTCGTGGACAAAAAATATTCTCTTTAATGGGTGTTCAACTACAACGTTTAAAGGCGATTTCACGTCGACGAATAAACGTTGTGTTTTGGGATGCAGCATTGCCGTCCACTACGCCGCTCCCATCATTTGTTGCCTTTGGTTTCATCTACTTCTTCGACGTCTCCCACCAAGTCCAAGATGGTCTTTTGGATCTCGGCAGCATCGTCGTCACGGCCGCTGGCGCGCAGCGCTTCAGCCCAGTTGTGCATTGTCGTGATGGTTTCGACGTGCAATTCCCCAAGGGCTGCTTTACGCACGGCGGTAGCCTTAGCAAACAACTCGATGGCGGCGTCGAATTTCCCAAGCTCCTTGTACACGATGCCGAGATTGTTCCATGCGAGCGCAGTGAGTGGACTAGTCGCCCCGACCTTGGCTTCAAGGCGCTCGACAGCTTCCACGAGCATTTCCTCAGCTTTTTCCTTCTTGTGTGTGTGCCAGTACAGCATGCCGACATTGCACATGCTCATGGCAATGTCTGGATGGTCGGCGGCAAGAATCTCGCGGCGAACACGGAGGGATTCTACAAAGCAGTAAGCATAAGTCCTTGTCACTGCTGGAAGAACATACCTTCAAAGCATTCAAGGGCATGGTCAAGTCCTTCAACCTTTTTCATACCAGACAAGCTGTGTGCCTGCAATCGATAGACCCCGCCCAAGTTGTGCAATGTAGTAGCCCAGGACGCATGGTTCTCCCCCACGCAGCTCTTGTACACTCGAAGTGCTGCCTCGTAGGACTCGATGGCCTCGTCCAGTTGACTCAAGTTCTTTTGCATCAACGCCAAGTTGTTGAGTGTGCTGGCGTAGACGGGATGATCGTCGCCAAAGTGATCACGCACGGCATCGCGGCAGATCTCGGCCATCTCCAAGCCAGACACAAAGTCGCCTTTCCTAGTCATGCGCACACAGAGTCAAGCTGCGCACCCTTTACAGACCGTTCGACACTATCCACGTACGAGTAAAGCTCACGAATCTTTTTCTGCATGCCAGCAATGTCCGCTTCTACGACCATGTAGTCATTCCGTCGTCCTTGAGTCGATGTCACTGGCACGTTCAGCTTCGAGAAACGCGCAGTTTGCATAGAGCATGCGGCAGGGCGGCGCAGGGTCGCCAGAGGGCGCAACATCGTGGTCGCAAGACGTTGCATGCTCTCGAATTCTTTCACCTCCTCGAATCAATTGGTGTATGGAGATGCCTCCGGTTAAAAGTCATATTATCCGGAATGTAAACTCAGATCTCGCGCTTTCCAAATGCAAAATGAATCAGCGGCGCTGGATCGGAGATCGGCCGCGGGACCAACTTCGCTTCGGAGACCTGGAGCATCGTCAACCGTGACGCCCAATTGAAGAAGACATGTTCACGCGACGTACAATGCTCGACCGGATGGGCGTAGTGGCTCGGTGGCAGGGGGCCGTGCGTCTCGTCTGTCATCACGAGACGATGGTGGTCCACGAAAGTCGTCGCGGCGATCATAGTCCCGACGGTCGTCTCGAGGTGGAGGACCCCGTCGATCGTCCCGTGGGATATCCCGACGATCATCACGTGGATAATCCCTGCGATCGTCCCGTTGCGGATCACGAAAACCATCTCTTTGGGGACCATCTCGTCGGTCGTCAAACCCATGAAATCGGTCGTCTGGACGACGAAATGAGTCATTTCGAGGAGGATCATCGCGACTTCCTCGGGAGCGATCACGTGAACGAGAGCGGGAGCGATTGAAGGCAGAACGAGGCGGTGGGGACAAGTCACGGCGTCGGTCATAATCACGTCCACGGTCGTCGCTATACTTTCGGTCATCCAATTGGTTGGGCCTGCTGCGACTCAAGTCATCCCGTCGACTGTTTGGGTGAGGACCACGGTTGTCTCTACACAGAGTGAACACAACAACTGGTGGGCACGACTCTCGACAAAGGACAGACAACAACGGGTGGGCCACGACTCTCGACAAAGGACAGCATGAGCGCTCGAGGTCGACGTGGATAAACCAACGGGTGTTACACTTGTCTCGTCCAAGGACACAATCCACCACACATACGATGGCCACCCACGGGTATCTCGAATCGTCGACACACAACGCAAAGACTACCTCCGATTCGAGCTGAAGTCGGTGCGGAGAAATTTGCCTTCGTATTTCAAGTCCGCTTCGTGAGCACGGGCGGCAGCACCATACTGTTCAAAGTCGATGAAGGCGGAAATATTGGGGTTGTTGGTCTTTTGGGGCAGAACTTTCACGTTGACCACTGTGACACAAACACCATAGGTGAACAAACAGTCGACGGCGCACTCGCCACAGACACAAGAAGGGGTTGGCGTTGTTGCTGCTGCGGCATCCATTCCATCCACGGCACACCAGCTGAGTAGGCTCATGACCCATCCATGGCACGATATTTGCCCCATGGTCACACACCAATGCACACGATACCTCGTCCAAATTGTTCGAAAAAGGTTTTCACGCGTTCAATGGTCGTGTCCGGGGGGATGTTGCCCACAAACAAACTCGTGCATCCTTCTTTGGGAGGGGCACGATCATGCGCGCGATCCATGCTTCCACCATTCTGTGGACCACTGCGTTTGCTGTCCTCTGTGTGGGCAAAAGACACACGAATCTTTCGACCACCAAAGTCCGAGTTGTCCATTTCGCGCACAGCATCTTCCGCGTCGCGTTCATCCAAATAGCTCAAGAACGCAAAACCTTTCTTGAGAATCACCTCCGCGATGTCGCCATACTAGACGGACGCATTCGTCACGAATTCATCGCATCGTCGAGATACACATGCAAGACGCATGTACCTTTTGGAACTGAGCGCGGATGTCCGCTTCCAGCACATTGTCGTCTCCAAACGGCAGATTACCCAGGAACACCTTGACCATCGTCGTCCGCGGCCGCCGCTGTGGGGTTGAAACAAAAACTGGGCCATCGGCTGGGTCGAACGCCGGATAACAATATCCGGATTTCGAAAATCATCCGTGTTCGTCCCAATTGCATGCAAGCGTGCTGATGCTAAGGGCGATCAAGGTTTCTGACCTCGCAAGCACCTCATGTCGTTCTGTTAATGGTCAGGTGTCTTCACCTTACTCCTTTCCTCAATGAATGCCTCATGAAGCATGGGACAGTGTCCTGACTTCGAAGAAAACCTCCATTTTGTAAAAATGTCCCTGATAGTACTCTAGGAGAGGGAATTAGTACTACTAATCCTTCATTGTTGATATCGTTCACATATGTGAGTCACTTCATCAACGCTTTCACTACTGTCAATCGTCACTAAGCTGAATGGAGTATTCTACATGACATCGATGCAAGTAGAGCATGTCGCCGGAGAACGCCGCACGGCATGGCCGCTGTTCACTCTATCTCACGAAGGTTCTGGCTCGTCTTTCTGGAGTAGGGAACAAGTTTAAAGACAACCGTTCTTCTCAAACTCGAAAGTGTTTGTTATTGTGAATTATCCGGATAGCAGTTTCGGACGTCAGCATGACATCAGCCAATCAGAGATGGCGTTCAAGATCGCGGGTCGGGCCATTTCGCCATCATGTTCGCCACGCTCAGGAACAAGTGCTGCCGGTATCTGTGTTGCCGCAAGATGGAAGCGGGCGGCACACCCGTGGGTGAAAAAAGGTGCATCAAAGACATTTCCCCAGATACGGAGACCAGCGACGACGACGAAACCAAACGCCGCATTCGCGCGCGCAACCAAGGACGGCGTTCGTCGGTGAGGTGCGAGAACTTCAACGGCTGACGGCGGCAAGTTCCTCTTACCTCGATGAACCTGCGTAGTTCGGGTTCGCTTAGTACAAAGGAGCCTGCTTCAGGGAAGAAGATCGTCCCGAAGTCTGCTGCAACGATCGAGCGGATCAAGTGTGCCGTCGCGTGCAATTTTATGCTGAATTCGCTCGGGTCCGAAGAGCTCATGGATGTCATACATGCCATGGAAGAGCGGAAGGTGCAAGCGGGGGACACCATCATCAAACAGGTAACTCTCCCCTTCCACGAAATGCATCTCCGACGCGAACGGTTTTCGTCAGGGCGACGAAGGAGATTACTTTTATGTGATTGACAACGGCGAATTCGACGTCTACAAGAGCAGCACCCCCGGGGTTCCCGTGTTCCATTATTCGAACGAAGGGACGTTTGGAGAACTAGCTCTGATGTACAACAGCCCCCGCGCGGCTACTGTCGTCGCTGTGTCGAGCGGTGCGTTGTGGGCTCTCGACCGCGACACGTTTCGGCGAATTGTCGTCACTGCCAACAAGTCGCGATCCGAGCAGAACGAAAAGTTCCTGTCGGGCATGGACCTCGTACGTCGACATGGCGCTCTCTCGACCGCACGATCTCACCATGCCATAGATGGCCAACTTGACGCCGTCCGAGGTGTCGACAATCGCCGACGCCCTGCAACCCGTCACGTTCCGCGCCGGCGACGTGATCATTGAGCAGGGCGACGCCAACTACGCGTCCTTTCACTTTTACATTTTGATCCAAGGCACGTGCGCGTTTGTCTTGACGCATGGCGAGACTGGCGACAGGACTCCGATCGGCAACGTCGAGGCTGTGGGGTACTTTGGGGAAAAGGTACGCCATGCACTTGGCCCGCGCGATCTCACGGCATGGACAGGCACTGACGGAAAAGTCCAAGCGCGCCGTGAGCGTGATCGCGACGTCAGATGTCGTGCATTGCCTCTCGATGGACGTCGCCACGTTCGAGCGACTCATGGGGCCATTCCACGACGTCTTCCACCGAAAGATCCACAGCTACGTGGACCCGACCAACGTCGTCGGCGCCACAAATCGCGTCTAGCTGGAATAATAAATGCATCGGGTGGCGTGAGACAACGGGAACTACGGCCTCTGGTCCCACGACGCAGACCCAGCGCGGACGACCATTCCATCCATGGTCGACGTGTATACATCCATGTGTAGATGAAGGTGTGGAAGAGGTGTGCGGTTGTAGGAATAGGGCGGTTCTTGGCGCGTTGTCCGTGGGGAAGAGCGAGGTTGACTCGCACAATGGAGCACATATATACATGTAGAGTGGTTCCCAGACGGGAACGATGGCAGAACGCCAGGCGACGGGACATCTCCACATAAGGCCAACGACAAGGACTCTAGACTCGGCACTGCCCCATGCGCCAGTTGGTATGTCAACATGGCCTGTCCTCGCCGCGACAAAGAGGTCGCACCGCCGCGGTGGCGAAAGTTGGAACGGCGCGCAACGCATCCCCATGGCGTCGTTGGATTGGGCCGATTTCGCCAGATCGCAATTGCACATCCAAACGACGTTCGAAATTTCAGAGTATTTTTTCGGTGGCAAGGGGTTTCATGTGCGCGGACGCCGACGGGCGTGTGCCATTGCCACACTTGCGCGCCGCCACGACCACCACCCCCATGAGCGTATTCAACGTCCACTCCCTCTCCATGCACATCATGGACTACACGATCGACACGACCAACAGCGTTGTGTACTACCATCTCGAACTCCTCGACGACGACTCGGGCGAATCCATGACGGTCATGCGCCGCTACAGCGCGATTGCAGCCTTCCGCGCGGCGCTTCTCAAGGAACTCGATACCGCGTGCCAATGTCCGCACGACCAGAATCGGTGCAAACCGTGTCTTGCTGCTCTCAAGCAGTGTAGCTTCCCTGCCAAGAGCTGGTTCCCCAAAGATGGCATCCAGCCCGAACTGGCCGATCAACGCGCCACAGAATTGTCGTATTTTCTTCAAGATGTTGTCGCCGTCGGACGCGACCACGCCCCCCTGTGCACGCACAACCAGACTTTCTTTGAAGCCACCCTCGCCAACGTCCTTGGCGCCCCATCGCTCACACCGTTTGCGACCGTACCGCCACGCAACCGCAAGGGCGAGCGCAGTGCGTCGTGCGAGATCGCGTCCGACGCAGTGCGGCCATTCTTGCGGCATCGGTCCGGTTCGGTCCCCATCACGTCCAAGCGCCTCATCCTGTAGTTGCCTCGATCGGCGTTATCTATTTACAACTTATCATCTTTCTTTTTGTATGGGTCCCCGACAACGTGAAATAACACAATGCTCCAATATATTTCCAATTAGTCGAGTAATTCTATAGTTTCTATGGGGCCTACAACCACTTGCCCTTGGGCGACGAGTTGCCGCTGCTGTACCCTCCCCATCCCTGGTTGTTGTCGTACGACGACTTGCGACCGCCGTAGCTGCGCTGGCCGTTGCTCGAGTTGCTGCGGGGCGAGCTGCTGCCACCTCGAGAGAACCCGCTGTCGAAGCGCGAGTTGCCGTAGGTGGGGCGATGGCCATTCGACGAGTTGCTCCACGGGCGGCTGCCGTTCGAGTAGTTGGAGTCACGCGAGCGATAATTGTTGCTGCTTCCGTAGCCGGAGCGACTGCCCTGCGACCGACCAGTGGACGAGCGCTGGACACCGCCGACAGTGATCTTGGGCAGTTCCGTGACTGGGGCAACCACCACGTTCTTCGTTTCGGCGTGCTCCAGTACTGTGTCGACGTGCTTGTGCGGCACATCAAAGTAAAACGTGCTGTTGTCGCCGCGCACGACGCGCGAGTACGGCACAGTGACGCGCACTTCCTGAAGGAACGACGAAATCGCGTCCGCGTTCCACGAACGATCACCCACCAAGCTCAGCGTTTGGATATGCGGCTGCGCGGTCAGCATCGAGTACACGGTGGGGCCCTTGGCATCAAATCCGGCGAGCAAAGCGAGCGCCGAACTGACAACGTGCACCCGCTCGTCTTCGTTTGCGAGCAGCTCCTTGGCGATGGCTTCAAACGCCTTGCGGCCGTCAAACGCAACGTTGTTGAGCTTGTCGGTGACGGTGGCCATCGCATGCTTCAGCATTTGCGACGGCAGCGGCGCGGCAGCGTGGTTGAACGTCATCCCAAACTTGGATTCCAAATCGCGCACGTCGCGAATGTCGCGCGATTCAAATAGCACGACGTTGACGCCGCTGCGGCCAGCTCGGCCCGTGCGCCCCGCGCGATGGACAAAGTTTTCTTGGTCGTTACTCAGGCGGTACTGGATGACGAGGTCGACGTTGGCAATGTCGAGGCCGCGCGCGGCAATGTCAGTGCAGATGAGCGTGCGCACGTCGCCATTGCGGAATCCCTTCATGGTGGCCGTGCGCAAATTTTGCGACAGATCGCCGTGCAACACACGGACGCCCTTGGCGCGGGCGCTAAGAAACGATACGAGTTCGTCGGCCTCCTGCTTGGTTTCGGTAAAGATGAGCGCTTGGCCGCCTTGCGAGTACAAGTTGAGAATACTCTCCAGGATGTGGTCCTTGGAGTCGCGCGTGACCATGATGGCTTTGTGCGAGACGGTGGCCGGGAGCTTCGAGTTGTCTTCGCCGACAAGATCGATCATCGTGGGATCTTTCAAGTACTGCCGGGCAATTGTGTGGACCCATCGGGGCGTTGTGGCACTCCACATGACACATTGCTTGGTGTCGGGCATGGCGCCGAGGATCGTTTCGACTTCCTCTTGGAAACCAAACTTGAGCATCATGTCGGCCTCGTCCAACACGCTCACTTCAATGTGGGACAGGTCCAAGTTGCCCTTGTCCATCATGTCGACAACGCGGCCGGGCGTCCCGACCAAGATGTCGATCCCGCGGCGCAATTCGTTCTCCTGTCCGATGTACGACACACCACCAACAACGAGGGCGACGCGGAGTTGCGGCGCAATGCGTCGGAATTCATCCGCGACTTGTTGTGCAAGTTCACGCGTCGGCAACATAGCAATCGCGCGGGGAGCTCTTTTTTGTGTCGCAGGGGTCGACAGCAAACGTTCTACGATGGGCAGAGCAAACGCCAGCGTCTTCCCAGAGCCCGTTTTGGACCGACCCATGATGTCCTTGCCTTCCATCATGGTCGAGAACGATTCGACTTGGACTGGGAAGAGATGTGTGATGCCTGCGCGTTCGAGGTTCTGGGTCGTTTGCGGCGACAGGTCAAAGTCCGACAAGGGCTTTTGATCGACAAAGCCGGACGTTGTCGTCGTCGCGTCGTCAACGTCGATAACATTGTCCACATCGTCGTCTTCATCTGGGACGAGGGTGGCCGTCGTGACGGTTTCCAAGCGCAAGTGGGAAAACGCGCGGCACGCCAACGAAACTGCGGGCGATGTGGACGCACCAACACGGCGCATGGCAAGGGCCTTGGTTCCGCTGACGGCAGAGCGGCGAAGTGCTTGCACCAGCACGGAGGACACTTGTTTCGAGAGCATGGTGAACCTGGCGGTCAAGTTGCGAGAATGCAAAGAAGTTGAACTCTCGGCGACACACCAATCAAAACGCGGTCACCAATCGTTAGGGCACAATGTAGAGGTGTCCTTATGTTCAGGGAATTTGAGGCAATTCCCTTGCAAGAGGGGACCACAAGGTTGTTAAAACCAGGGAAAATGGGACAGCCCGACACATGCCTGGGGCGTTCGTCGCACGCTGATTGGCTGTGATGACCTTTCTAAATCAATATGAACAGGGATGGATTGTCACAGGTCACGCTTTGTAACGTCACCAATGCAGTGTGCCGCCGCCGCGCGATGAGGACATGGGAATATGCAACAGAATTCGATACAGAGAGCGCGGTACAGCCGCCTACGCGAGCTGGATGCCGATCTTTTGAGGATTGGCATACTTGAACTTGAGCAGCTCGGGGGCGAGCGGTAGCGACAGCCACTTCTTCACGTCCGCCGACGCATCCTGGGACTTGTCACCACCCACGACATGTGTTGCCGTGTAGTCCTTCCATACTTTCGAATCGCGGAGGGGCGCCGACACTTGGTTGCCAGGGATGATGGACAAGACAGAGAGGAAGCGCGCGATCGGCGCCTTTGTGTTGCCAGCAATCGCGTCCGGCGCCGACAGCAGGTTGAGCAACGCCGTCACCATCGGGCCCATCGCGGGGGATTTGGCAAAGTTTATCGACAAGTTTGTGTGTCGCTTCAACGCAGTCGTGTGAATGTTCAAGAGAAGCTCGACGTCTTGGTGGTTGTTGCCGGCAGACATGAGCGGCAGCGTCCTATACAACACCATGAGAATGCAAACACCGTCGTCGAGACGGTCGAGTTACTTGGCCAACGAAGCGGGGTCCATGCCGCTGACGAGCTTGTCGATGCACGTGGGGACGAGGCACAGGTTGCCGAGCACTTGAAGCGCAACACGGGCGAGCTGTCCTTCATCCGACTCCTTTCGCTTGGGCAGGTGGGTGTACACGGTCGAAAACATGCTCTTCACGTACAGCGGGACCTTGTCCGCGATCTTTTCAATGCACTTGGGCGAGAACATCGCGACATGGAGGCACTCCATGACACGAAGCTGGAACAATGGCGCTTTCTCGGTCGAGAACCGAATCTTGGTTTCGTCGTGGTCGAGGCCGGCAAACAACGTCACGATCCCGTCCACGTCGACGAGTTGGATATCCATTTCCGCCGTGTACTGCAGCATGTTGCGGACAGCCGTCACGACTGGGAGCATGCGGTCTTGCATCGTCTTCTCGAGGGTGTCGGGGCGGGCGCGAACGCCGGCAATGTCGTGGGAGAGCGAGCTCAACAAGTTGGCCATCACGCGCTTTCGGATCTCGCGCTGGTCGGTGACATGCGTGCCGCGTCCCGTGCGTTCGTCTGCGAGACCGGACGAGATGAGCGCCGTGATGCCGCTCTCGGGATCGTTGTTGTAAAAGTTGACGTAAATGTCGGCCACGCGGAGCTCCGAGTCCTGCGCATCGTACAAGAATTTGTCGGGGAGGACAAACTCCCTGGACGACAAGTGCGCTTCCGTCGACAGCGCCAGCAGCTGCGCGCGCATCGAGTCGGTCCACATCATGTGCGGCTTCTTCACGTCATGCGACACGACACGAAGGAACATGTCCGGGTCGCTCTGGCTCAACAAGAGGTCGATCAGCGGCCGGGTAAAGATCTGATCGATCGTGCGCTGCATTCGGCCGCGCGCGCTTGGTGCCGGCGCGTTCTCCGGCTTCAGGATGCCCTTGAGCGCTTCCACCGCCAACGTCCGGGTGCGCGTGGGGCCAGGGGAGTCGACAATGATCGGGGCCAAGTACCAGACCACCCCGCGCTTGGCCATGGCGTCCAGTAGTTCGTCCGACTTGGTGGAGCCGAGCGACATGCCCTGAACGATTTCAAGGGACAGCGCCGTCAGATCCTGCGACGGTGTCGTGAGTTCCAAGTACGGCTGGAGGAACGGCAAGATCGAGAGCGACGGCGATGACGACAGACCATCGCGGCCGAGTGGCTGGTGCACGATCGAGTTAAACGCTTGCAGGAGGAACCGCGTGGGGGTGAGGTCGTTGCCGCGGTGGTTGTGGGCGAGTTCGAGGGCATCGTACATGACACGGAGCCCAGACACGACGGTGGTGTCCTTCATCGAGTTGATGATCGCGCTCGACTTGCATGCGGTCGTGATGACGGCGAGCGCGCTGAGGAAGACGTCCCACTGCGGCGTCGGCATGTCGTTGCACTTTTTGAGTGCGAGCAGGAGGAGCGAAAAGTTGAGATGATCGTGCAACTTGGGCTCGAGCGTGGCCCAAAACCGACGGAAGAGCAGAGAGATCGAGTCAAACACCATGACGATATCGGACGACGACAGCTTTGCCAGGGACGGATACACCCACGACTGCACGGCGTCCATGAGGGCCCGGAGGAACGCGGTGGGGTCGTTGATGGGCCAGTTTGGGAACGCCACGTCGTCCAGGAGGTTGTGCAGGTAGTACTGATCCACTTGCAGCTTGTACACTTCTTCAGGGTACACGATCAGGGGCGTCGATGTGTCTTCTTCAGTGACCGCGAGGTGGAATTCGCCCTGGGCCGTGTGCTTGGCAATGAATTCGTCAACCTGCACGAGCATTTGGTCCCGCAGCGTGGCGTTCCAGAGCGTTTCTGGGTCGTTCGTCGTGGCAAAGTATGCGCTGGCAAACTTTTTCGGTCCGTGGCGGACCAGCTGCGCCACGAGCGACACGGGCAACACTTTGATCAACCAGCTCTTCATGCATCGTTGCGTGAACGACGGCGTCGGGTTTGCATGCTCCAGGACCTTGGCCAGCTCCTCGGGTGGAATGTGTACGGGCCGCTGGCGCAAATGGATGGTCGTGAGAAAGTTGGCGACGACAAACATATCGTCTTCGGTGTGGGCATTGCGCAAGAGGTAGTAAAACAGCCCCGTCGTGTGCAGCGACGGGACGAGCGACTCGTTGTTCTGGACCAAAAGGTGAAATACGTGAATCACTTTACGAAACACGGCGCGGTTCGGATGGTCCAAGAGCGTCACGAGAAACTTCAAATGGGTGGCCAGCAAGCGTTTGATCCAACTCACGGGGCCCACGGCACTCGTGGTCGTGGCCTGGTTGCCCAAAAAGTATTCGGTCTTTGTGAGTTCTTCTTGGTCAGACGTTTGGCAGTGCACGAGCTTCATGAGGACAATCAAGCATGTCTGGACGATGCTCGTAGCTTCGTCATCGTTTTCAACAGCGTTTACTTCGTGGAGCAGCGCCAGGACAAGCTCCAAGTTGGTCGATTCGTGCAGGAATCGCGTCACATTCACGGCACTGGACAAAACTCGCTCGACAAACAGCATGACGTGGCCGCGCAACGTGCGTGACCACTGCGATCGCATCGCGACTCGGAAAAAGTGATTGAGGAATACGAGCGACCGGATGTCCGACGGGTACTTGTTGTACAGCGCCGTCATGGTCTTGATGCACAAGAGTCGCACGGGTTCGTCGTCCGTGGCCAGCACGCGGAAGTACAGCAACGTGATGAACGCTTCAACGTCGACAATATCTTCTGCAAGATCGCCTTGGCTGTTGAAGAGTGCCTTGAGGTAGTACGCTCCGACGCGGACTTCGTGCTCCAAGCACGTGAAGTCGACGATAAACTCGTCTGCGTTCCAGTTGAGGAACCAAAACGGCTTGGGCGACGCTACAATATGCTCGGCTTCGTGGCTGCCAGCAGTGCTGGCTACGGCGTCGTCGGTGCCATCGTCGTCCTTGTCGAATGGGTCGATGGAAGCGGCATTGGATGCGTTGGCGGCGGCACCGCCAAACACTGGCGGAAATGCACTCGAGAGCGCGTCAGCGTCGCGGCGAACGCCCTCCATGGACGTATCGAGGGCTGTTTCATTGCGGTCCGTGGGACTCGACAGCAAAAAGTAGAAGTAGGTGAGCCGGTTCAGGTCAAACACCGACAGCTCGTCGATCAAGCGCTTCTGGAGCTCGGCCAAGTTGTGCGAATCCCACTTCAAGTCCTTTTGGACAATCACTGCGCGGAGCTTATCGAAGAAATCCGGCAACAGCACGACGCACTTGGTAGTGGCGACCACGTGGGCCCGCGACGTGACGCCAGCGTGCACCTTGTCGCTGGCGAGGACGGGCTTGTCCGTACCGTCGGCATTGCCCAATGTGGTCTGCAATGACGTAGTGGCGTCGTGAGGTTTGTCCGGCACGGCAAGAATTGTCGCGGCAGCGGTCAAGCGGACGGCCGACAGGTCCGACACATTCGAAAGCGGGGCCAGGGCGATGGTGTTGATTGCGTTGTTTGCCGGGGCAGCCGACGACGACGGGAGCAATACTGGCAGCCGGCGACCGAACTCGTCGTACGAGCACTTTTCCGGCGGAATATCGCCGAGAAGGGCATGCGGAAAGATGTTGCGGATTAAGTTGGACGACCGCGGGTTTTCGTGCGTGAGGAGGGCGACCAGTTGCGACGAAATGCGACGCTGGCTCTGGTCGTGGCCGCTGAGACTCAAGTAGAGCTGCCAGAGGAGAGCCCCTTGCGTCCGCGCAAAGTCCTGAATCTGCTCGACGAGCTCCGATGGCTGTTCGAGGACGTGGACCTTGACCAGAATCGACGACGCCTTGGCAATGCCAAACGAAAGCGACCGATTCAGCGTAAACAACGTGTGATGGTGGGCAAAGTCGTCAATGTGCATCGCGTTAAGCAAGTCGCGATGAACTTTTTCCGGTGTCGACCGCTTCCCCGACGCAAGACACACCTCCATCGTCGTCAAAATCGAGTGGAGGACGAGAAAGTCGAGGCCGATGAGTGTGGAGCTCAGCACGCGGTTCATGAGCGGGTTCGGGACAACGTCGACGTCGTACAGGTTGGACGTTTGGACGGTCGGGTCAAATACGCGGTTCACAAACAGGTTGGCGCGCTTCTCCGTGTGGAATACGGCCTTCCGGTTCGCCAGCTCCATCTTGACGCTGTTCTTGTCGTTCGAGTAGTTGACAACCATGCAGTTGAGAACCTGGGCGGCGGCGAGGCCCACTTCGGCGACGGGCGAGTACAAAAACTCCATCACGATCAAAATCACCTTGCGGTATTCTTTCCGGAGCACTTCTTGGAAGCCAAAGCTCGTGTGGAGCAAGCGCTGGATCGCAAGCAGGAGCGCGACTTGGAGTTGCGGCGACGGAATCGCGGCATGGGAGTTGCTCGACGGGTCCTTGATTTTCAAGCTGATGTATTCCCGCATCTGGTCGACGATCTTGAAGAGGCACGCCAGGGGCTTGGTCACGTATTTGGACGAGACGGTGCCGACCGCGACGTTCTTGTTGAATTGCTCGAGGAACCGGAACAACTGGTCAAAGTACAACTGGTTGTCGTGCGAGCTCTTCCACGTCACGAGCAATTTCTTGAGCAACGCTTCTTCCCACTCGGCGTTGCAGTCGCTGCTCCACCCGCCGACTTTGCATCCGAGCGGAGTTTCTTCCGTCGACCATGACACGTGCTTCTTGTTCTTCGAAAACACTTCAAACAAGTTGGTCACAAACAAGTTGCGGCTCGCGGTCGGCGTCAGCAACGTTGTCGACCCCGCCGTGGCAAACGACGGATGGGACGTAAACGACGGGTCCATCACGGCCGCTTGGAGCTCCTTCACGCGTTGGTCTGTCACTTGTTCGAGGCCAAGGCCAACGTGCGGGCTGCGCACCGCCGCCGCCGTTGACACGCACGTGTAGCGCCTCGTGCGGCCGTTCTTGAGTTCGATCGAAAACTTCTCCGGTTCATCGGGCGACAACACAATGTTGAAGACGTCCGAGAGTGAAAACCGCGCGAGGGTGCGATGCGTGGCACGATCGCGCTCCAAAATGCCGGACCGGGTCAGCGCCAACATGATTGCTTTCTTGTCGCGGGCGCTGGCGAGCTTGCTGCGTCGAAGCACGGGAATCTCAAACAACACCGACACGGGCTCACTCAACGGGTACACGAGCGATTCGTACTCGGCCGCGTCCGGCACTTCCTGGACGAGAAGCGGCTCCTTCACGATCGTCCGGAGGTTATTGATCACGACTCCGATGAATGCCTCACGCTCCTCGCACGTGTACCGGGTCGCCGTGATGTTGCTCTTGTCCTGCTGAAAGTACAGCACCAACCCGTGCGGTTCGTTCTGTAGCTTTTGGACCTTCAAGATGCTGGTCAACGACACCGACGCGATGGGTTTCTTCGTCTTGGGGTCCAATCTGCACAAAGCCATGTCACCAAAGATCGAATTTCCCAAGCAACAACAGAAATGGGGAGCTGTACCGGTCAAGTGACGCGCGCCGCACTTCCAGCAACACGAGCGTGTCTACAGGGCTCGCGGCAGAGCCCTTGGTCTTGCTGCGCTTCTTCATCACATACGTCGGTGTCTGGAACAGGGTTGCCGCTTGCTCTTTGTCGTTCGGTCGGTCGCGGTAGTACAGTTGGTAGTACGATGATAAGAACTGGTTGCGAGTCTCCTTGTCCTTGCAAATGTACGTCGACCGCGCATTCGTCGTCTTGGTGACGATCGTGAACGATAAAGCGTCCGTCGCAATCACTTCGCTGATGTCCGAGTATGCCCATGTGTCAGTAGTTTGTTCATTCGATGGATCCAGCGCGAACAGGTTCAATGGACTCAGGACGAGCAGCTTGGGTTTCGACCCAAAGCCAAGTCCCCAACCGGCCAGTGTGACCCAGAACCTCTGCGCGTAAATGACCCCAGACAAACGGTTCGCTGGGACGTCAGTGTCCACGAGTCCCTTGTCCGTGTTTTCTTCGTACTCCTTCAACACGGATTCTGTCCATGGGACGTACCCCGTGTGCAACTTGACTACATCGGGATGGGCGCCGCCGTACGTCAAGTACTCTTCGAGCGTTTCTTCAACATCGGCGTCGGTCGACTGCAAATGCGATCGCTGACGGAGCAGCAACGTCGATGGCGCGACGACAACTTCGTCTTCTGTCACGTCCAGCGTCGATGCGGCAGGCACGGAGGACGATGGGGCGCTGTCGTCATCATCGTCGTCGTCGGATTCTTCTTCGTACTCTTCGTCGGATTCATGGTGCGAAGTTGCGCTGACAGCAGGAGGTGCCTCGACATGCTCGACCTCGTCTACAGGCAAAGACGTTGGCTCATCACCATTGATCTCCAGCGTCGACGACATGGCAGTCCAAAGATGCGCGAAGGCCGCGCACTGTTCGCCTGACGGTCGAAAGTGAGAAAGTGATTGACCGCACTGACTGGGATAAAATAAATTTCGTGAGTTTGGATACAAATATCAAGTGCAAATTAATCTACAACAGCAATTGAGTCCGCTTTCCCCAGCGAAGTTGAACCTGAAAAGGATATCCGGATAAATTCCTGTGCACCACAACGGATCTACAAAATTGTCCTAATTTAGCAATTTTTGCAAAGAATATACCTAATTTAAGTGCCTTTACGCGACCGCTGCACTTCCAACTGCGCCAAAGGACAATGGGCGCTGCGTTTCACATCACCACCACAACAACTTTGACTTCCCAATGGCGCAATATAGTACGACCGTGCGAAGGAATAGCGAACGTGTTTGTGGTTTGAGGTGTTATGCAATATGCATGAGCCTTATTCAATTCGGCATTTGGGGGTCTCGCGGTTTGGAGTGCCTAAATTAGGAGTTCTCTACATAAGGCAGAAGATTATCCGTACACCGCGACGAGGCACAACCATCATGGGCGGCGGCGGGTTGCGCATCTTAGGACACAAGAAGTGGCATGTCTGGACTCGCGAGAACATCGAAAAGGTCCGCCGTGACGAGCGTCTCCATGAAGAAAAGACAAAGAAAGAGACGCGGGAGAAGCGCAAGCGAGACCTGGACAGTCGTGTCGAACACCTCAAGAGGGCCAGGTCGACAACTGAAGCAACGACAACGAACGTGCCTCCGCCGTCCGAACTGAATCATATCAACTTCTTCAAAGACGCAGAAGAGTATCACAACAAGATGCTCATTGACCCTCCAAACCCCAAAGAGTTCCACGAAGAAGGTATTGCACTGGGGGGAGAATTGAATCCCGCGTACAGATCCCAACATCCACCGTCCCAGCGACGCAAGCAGCAGGACGCCAAGAAGAGCCATCCAACTCTGCCGTGGTATGCACATGCTAGAAATGACGACAGGGTCGACGTGCACGACGACGCTTACAAACGGGACACGTTTGCCGATCCCATGGGAACCCTACTCACACGTCCTGCACCGTTTCTCGAAGCCAAGAAACCAGTCGTGTTGAAGCGCATTGATTTCGCGGGGGATAAAGTTGTGAGCACTCGTGATAAGGACGTTCCCGACTCGACGTCGAGCACTCGCTCCACGTCGAAGAAAGGCTCGAAATCGTCGAAACTCATGGACAAGTTGCGCGCCGAGCGCCTGGCACGAGAAGCTGCGGAATCGTCAAAGCGACGAAGATAAGGTAAATTAAAAGCGGCGGTAGGCGGCATCGTAGTACTCCTGGGTGGTAAAAAGGCCCTTCCATCCTCGGCCGATGCGGCTCCCTTCAAACTGTGCCAACACATAGAGTGCCACATGCGTCTCCAGGTACTTCATCGCCATCACAGCCAGCACCAGCACAAGGACGTACTCCCCGAGGTACGCGTGGTACACTGCGTCGCAAACGAGGGCGCCAAGCATGTTGATCCAGCACACATGGGTCCACAAGACAAACTATATCGTTGTCAGGTGAGATGCTTCGAAGTCGAGACTCCGTACCAAACGGCCAAGGAAAGAGTGCCGCTGCAGCACAAACACGATGCCGAGGACGGGAGCGCCCACGATTGCGCCAGGCATGCACAGCAAGACGAGTTCGAATGCCACCTAATGCACGCCGCCTTGGTTCATCCATCCTGTCGACGGAGATCGATTGAACGCACCTGGGAGCATCCTGTGCTCTTGGCCATCGGGTCCAGCACTTGAATGCAAAAGTACTCGATCAAGATCCACAGCATCGTGAAAAAGTCCATCGACAGGAGAAGGAGGAGCGAGTACGGCAACAGCCACCGGTACGGAGTTGCAACCACTGGGACATTCGACCACGGGGCCAGAAAGGAAGAAGTCCATGCTGACATGTCCATGGACATCGTGCGGCGCGCGAGAACGTTTCCACGATACCGACTGGTCGAAGCGTCATCGTCGTCGGCGCTGAGAAGGGGTGTTGTGTTTGTCGAAGGGACGGTCGCTGGGTCGGGGGCGTACAGCGCTGCGTATCGAATCGAGCTCATTTCGGCCATGGCAGCAGGTGAGGGCTTTGATGTCGGTGTGGTCCGAGGTGCGGCGGAGATGGAGGATGCGGCTGGTGGCTCGAGGTGGCGATGGGCATGGCGGCGGTCGTTCGGGACAACGTAGATGGCCCATTTCGAGTGCTCTGGCAACGGCTTCGATTCAAACACTCGTTCAAAGCACTCGTCTGGCGTCGTCGGCGTAGTCACCACTGCCGCGGGGCGGAAGGCGGACTGTTGCTCGTCGCTTGGCAGCGACCTCCACGAAAACACACCAAACTCGACCTACACCCCAAGTAAACTCCTCGCTGATCATGCTGTGGGTACGCACCGTGTGCCCGTTCAGCATGTCGGTGGAATTGAATGCTTCAACGTGGTCCAATATGCTCTCGATGGACCCAGACGGGGACAAAAGGCGCAGGTGCTGGTTGAGCGCCGCGACAAACTCGAGCCAGACTGAATCCCGAAGGATTTCGACTCGCGATGGCACGGCGCGGAGCCAGGCATCGTTCGTATCCAGGTAGAACGGGCACAGGAACGAACCATGGCCGGCCGCGACAAACAGTAGCGGCGGCGGCGGGATCTGTGGCGTGCGGCGGGCTGCGTCCGGGCTCAAGAGCAAGTCGATGTACCCCAACGAGTAGTCCGAACTATACAACAC